AGCATGAGGCTAACTTTGTTTGTAGTATAGACATGGAGGGAAACAAGTTTTGCTTTAATAATGCAAATTGTGTAGCTGAGTTTGTTAAACACTTCAGAAGGCCCAAATACCGCTCCTATACATTTATTGCGCACAACGCCTCAGGTTTTGACAACTACCTTGTGCTGGAGTACTTTGCACAGAGCGGTCTCATCCCTAAGCTGACAATGAGGGGAAGTAGGATTATCCTTATGTACGATGAGGCGTACAAACAGCGTTGGCTTGATTCATTCAGCTTCCTGCCCATGAGATTGTCTAAAACGCCAGCTGCTATGGGATTTGCAGATCTTGAGAAAGGCTATTTCCCACACAAGTTCAACACCAGGGAAAATGAGCACTATGTCAGGCCATACCCTGAGCCGTCCTACTACGGCTACGACAGCAAGAGCAGTGAAGAGAAGGAGGTTTTCATGCATTGGTATAACACGGTTTGTGATGAGACTTTTGATTTTCAGAAAGAGATCATGCGCTACTGCGTTAATGATGTGGAAGTCCTACGGCGTGCCTGTACAATTTACCGCGAAACATTTCTGGGTTGTACACAGCTCGATCCCTTCTCCTTTACCACTCTCGCGTCTAGCTGTATGGGTGTGTTTAAAATGCTGTCTCTACCCAAAGACACTCTCCCCCCTCACGTATGAAGGGGCATATGTAAGCCAGAACAAAACGTACTCTGCGGTCTCCATGCAGTGGCTGGGATACTTAGCACACACAGAAAACATAGCGATCCAACATGCATGCAATCTGGGTGAACACAAAGTGGGCAAGTACTTTGTAGAGGGTATGATGCAGTCACCAAGACGTGTTATGAATTTGCAGGTTGTTTTTTTCATGGTTGTCAGATATCAAGCCTGTTTGCAAGGCCACTTACAGTGAGCTGTATTGTTCATTTATGAACAAGGTGGCTGCTCTGGAGAACAGTTTTGGTCTATGTGTTGTGCTGTGGGAGTGCGAATGGGCAGAGCTGACCAAGACGGATCCAGCTGTCCAATCATTTTTAGCCACATACAAAGCCCCTGAACATCTTGACCTGCGACAAGCTATCTTCGGCGGGCGCCCCAATGCCATGAAGTTGTACCATGTGACAGAATCTGGTGAAGTGATCCTGTATGTTGACTTCACAAGCCTGTATCCATTTGTGCAGTCCAGCAAACCGTATCCAGTATCCTGAGGGATTTTGAATCCTTGGATAAGTATTTTGGGCTTGTAAAATGCACTGTGCTCCCACCCAGACGTCTTCTTCACCCGGTCCTCCCCTACAGGTGTCATAAAAAACTCATGTTCCCGCTATGCCGTACTTGTGCTGAAGAGTTAAACCAAGCCACGGAGTGCACACACTGTGATGGTGAGAGGCAGCTTTCAGGTGTATGGGTCTCGTTTGAGCTCCAAAAGGCTGTTGAAAAAGGGTACCAGGTGGTGGTTACTGACGAAGTGTGGCACTTCCCTAACAAGTCAGACACATTGTTTTGTGAGTATGTCAAAACATTTCTGAAATGTAAGCAGGAGGCTTCTGGTTACCCCTCTCACGTCAAAACAGGGGCAGATCAACAGAAATACATCGATGACTACTTTGAAAAGGAGGGGATTAGGCTTGACCCGGACAAGATCAAGGTAAACAAAGCAGTTAGGAGCTGTAACAAACTTCTCCTCAACTCTTTGTGGGGCAGGTTCTGTATGCCGAATAACATGCCTTCATGCGAGCTGATCACTGATCCTGCTGGATTCACACAGCTCATGTTCAGCAATCATTATGATGTCAGACAGTTCTGTTTCATCAGTGACAAGGTAGCTATGGTCCAGTGGCGTCACACTGATGCACGTGGATCTAGAATCAAGGATGTCAACGTCTTTGTCGGTGCCATGACAACAGCCAATGCCAGAATGATGCTGTATGATTTGTTAGACAAACTGCAGGAGCATGTGCTGTACTATGACACAGACAGCATTGTTTTTACAGCGGGGAGTGGGTGCCCCTGCTGGGGCCTTATCTGGGTGATTTGACTGATGAGATTAATGCAGGGGAGGTGTGTGGTCCTGAGGGTGAGGATTTCATCACTGAGTTTGTTTCAGGGGGTCCCAAATATTATGCTTATCGGACGAAACACGGCAAAACACAGGTCAAGTGTAAGGGAGTCGCACTGAATGCACAAAACAGGGGTGTTGTCACACACGAGTCATTATTGGGGCTCATTAAATCCTTTGTGTCCAATCGTGCATCGGACGCACACATAACCACCACGTCTGACACCATTACACGAGATAAAAAGAGACTCCGTCTAAAAAATGAAACAGTTTGTAAAAAAGGTTAGGGTGGTGTATGATAAGTGCAGGGTACTTCCTGATTACACCACACTTCCTTATGGCTGTTGGCAGCCTTTGTATGATCAACTCCTCCAAGTGCGTGATATCAAATTTGTGAATGGCCTACCCGAGTCTCTGTGCGATGACGCTTTATTGCTGCCAGAAAAAAAAAATTGCTGATTATTGATGATTTAATGAATGATGCCAGCAACAACATTGAGGTCCGAAATGTGTTCACCAAATATGTGCACCATAGGAATCCGAGTTGTATATATCTGGTTCAAAATGTATTTATCCAGGGGAAAGCCAGTCGTACAATTAGTTTAAATACAAATGATCTGGTTCGGTTTGAAAATATCAAATTACGCTGTTGGTGAGGCAGATGTTTCCTGGCGACACTAAATTTTTCTTGGAGGCTTTTAATGGCGCCACCAGCTCCCCATTCGGCTACATCCTCATTGATTATAAAGCAAAGACGCCAGACCGCCTGCACCTCAGAACCAATTTGCTCTCTGACCAACAGGTTGTATACCTCTCTAAAAAGCAGCGGGGATGACCATGTCACCTCGCATACGTAGAAATTTATCTCTTTTGGAGTTGTTGTACAAATCCCCACCAGCTCAGCGCTGGGCTATTGTGGCTAACACAGGATCGGATTTTATTAATGCATTGTGTGAGCTTGCCCTTTAACGTACTTCGTGGTAACATACCCTTGAATAAAAAACAATACAACCAGCTGAAAAAGAAAAGAAAAGCGATTAAACTCACTGCCGATAAAAAAGTTAAACTTTTGCGAAAGAAGAAGACCATCAACCAGAGAGGGAATGGTTTTTTTATTGCCGTTGTTGGGGGCTGCTATTCCCTTTATAACCAGTCTATTATCGGGAAAATAATAATATGGAGCATACACAAAAAAAGGTTTTTGGTACCCCAACATCAGCTGGAGTCACTGAAAAACAAGACTATAACGAGGGATCTATACGTCTTGCTGCTCTAAATGAACTGGACAGAAAAATGTTTGATCTGTTAAAACAGCCGGACATAAATGTTTATGAAAAGGCTAAAAAATATGCAGGCGTCTTGCAGAGATACCTATCCCTGGTAAGACAGGGCGAACACGAAAAGGGGGTTCTAACTTTGTCACTGTCCGACTAACAAGAGGTTGTTGAAAAATCACAAGGCGTTGATGATAATGGTGATAACACCCATGTCGTAAAGGACGCTGTTATTGACAACGTCTTAAAACATTTGCCTAAAAAGAGGGTGAATAAAGGGGAACACATTTTGGAAACATTGTCACAGGACAAAAATGTAATATTGTGGACGGACCAGGGCGAGATTATTGTCAACAATCGTACAATAAGAGGATCACACCTGTTTGATTTGGTAAAAAATGTTACGGTGCCGCAAAACACATTACGCACCTCAAGACCAATAGGGTGGGATATTTTTTTGAAAACCCTGGCTGATCTAAATGTTCCGTTATCGACAATACCAACATACAAGTCCGTAGTGCTATAGCAGATTATAAAAAGGGTATAGCCCATGCTGGGAAAAAAAGAAAACTGTCTGACCCAGATGTACACAGCTCTCCTGTACCTAGATCTGCTGACACCTGGTTGCATTTTTGATTAGATTTATTCTATTTTGTAACTATGTTTTGCTTTTTCATGAATATTGTCGTTGTTATTATTCTGAATTCTTCATTTTGTTTTTTAAATTCCTTTGTATCATTATTGTTGTCACTGCTGTTGTTTACTATGTTATGGATGATTAAACTGAGTGTGCAGATGTGTAATAAAATCAAAATTTCTTGATAACACAACCTTGTTTTCTCTTGTTTTTATTTCTCAAACCACAAACTATTACATTTTCACATTTTGAATACATTTAAGTCTATATCCACTACATACACCAGGTTGTATTTTGTTGACAAATAGACAGACCATGGCATCATTACACAGTGGATTTTGAGCATACTTTTTCATCACACAGTCGTAAGACAGTCCTTTTTGTATCTGACATAAGAAAAACACACAATGTTGTCCGCAGGTCGTGGCATGATGGTTTTCATGAGGAATCTGTTTATCTCAGAGGGAAAATTAACACTGTCGGGCGGGTTACCAAAGCTGTCGAAAAAACATCCCTCTCTGTGTCTTAATATGTACATTGCTTACCCAGTGCTCACCAGGTTTGTTGGAGGGATGTGTGTTTACAATTAACATGGCGGGTAATTTGGCAATTTTATATTTCGGCATCTCATCACATGGCATGACGCCTAGAAAATTTGTACCGTTAATTTTTCTAGAAACAATACCCATTAATTCAAGCGTATTCATACCCATTTAATAGTAATCCAGGAGCACCTGTTGGATATCTCTATAACTGAGTCAAAAACCGCATAACAAATTAAATTAACAGTGCGAGGCAAAGGTACTCTGAAACAAGTCTCAAGTCTCACATTGCCTGTTTTGTTGAGAGAAACATTTCCTGAACACCCACCGTCCGGCTCTAGGTTGAAGCAGAACAATGCGTACCCGTGTCCAAAATCGTAACGCGTCACAGCTACCGATCTGTCTTTTAGGTGTCGACCATAGACTGTATATACTATGGACAACCTGGTTCCGCCTTCCGCCTGTATATGGATTTGAAGCCAGAAAGCTCTCTGTAATTCCGGGTTTTTCTCCACTTCCTTGAAACCAGAGCTGTGCAGTAGCGATGAGCGCATTCGGCCGCGCAGTCGCCGAGAGTCCCTGTGATGACGCTCGGCTCAAACAGCGTATCCCCCCGGTAGAGCTACGCAATCCCTGAACGCCCATAGGCTGTACCAGGTGTCAATCATAGAAAACACGAACCCCCTAATAACTTTTAAAAACGGAGCTGTACAGAAAAAAAAGGACTTGGGCACAAACCAGTCTTACAATAACTACATGTCAACATCACAAGCAGGGGGGAGAAAAATTTATGTTTTGTGTAATAAATTTATAAAGTTTGTCCACAGTCCCACAAGCTTTGCTGGCGGAGGCGGGATTTATGACCTGTACTGCAGCCCACCATCAGAGGGTGCTGTTCTCGGAGTGGCTTCACCCAGCGAGGAGGCAGACTCTGTCCATCCTTTATACAGTCTATGGTGTCGACCCGTAGTTTGAATCAGCTGGTAATACTCTCTTGTGTATTGATCCCTATTAAATATGTGTTGAAATGGCTTTGCTGGAAAAGACTGCCCCTCAGCATGTAGACACATGTATTCTGTGTCGTAGTGCTCAATATTACAGTTTTTCTCAGTCGCTTTGGTACATTTCTCGAATCATCCTCGACATTTGCAAAACAGTTAGTTCTTTTCTCAAAACAATTTGTACAAATAGCAAAACACCATGGATTACCTGCAAAAGCCAGTCTCTTGCTCAAAATCCTTAGTACATCTCTCAAAAGTAAATATCTGTGTCAATGAACATGTCAGTGCCATCAGAATGACAAGTCCTTGTGTCATTGTGTACGGATAAGACAGTCAAATTGCTTAGTCATGTTGTCAATATAACAGTGTACTCTGGAGGGATGTTCTGATGTAAACTATGGCTAAAGTTTTGATGACAATCATTGTAAATTGTAAGTTACACCTCAGTGTATGTGGGAGATTGATTGCATTGATTGCAAGAGACTGTAATTTGATGACAGACCATGTCATTGCGATACAGAAAAGAAAAAGACAGCACTGCAGAGCACAATAAAAAAAACAAAAAAACAAAAGTAGAAATGTGAACATAGGACAATTTCCTTAGGGAAAACTGGAAATGCAGTGCTGTAGGAATTACAGTACAGTCTTCCTACACCTCCTGATGTTCCTGTCTGTTGGGCAACAAATTCTTATCCACAAAATGTCACTCATCCAAAATGTCACTGTATATACTATACTTACTGTATATTGTAAAATGAAAGTCGAATACTGCAATATTGTATGAAGCATTACAGAAAGTATACAGTATTACAGTACAGTGCCTATTGTTAGATTACAAACCTGTTCTGTCAACGAAAAGTCTGAATGATTGAGGACACAGTTGTTCTCCCAACATTTGGCTGCACCCTTCGGCCAGCCTCAGCCATTGTAAGCCCATGATTGAGAACGTGGTCTACAAGTGTAGCTCTTATCTCATCAGGAACGTGCATTTGTCCTCTGCCTCTTCTGCCTCTTCCTCTGTTTTGCCTCCCAACTCCTCCGCCACGCAGCCTCACTCCTCTTCCTCTTCTTCTCTCTGGCTGTTGACCCCGTCCATTTCCTTGTCCTTCCATTGTCAGACATTGTAACATTGTGTTGTGCCCTGGCAATATATACTTGCCAGTTGATGGTTCATGAGATGCACCTTTGAGCTGTTTCAGAAAAGTGGTTGATCATTGGTTGATCTAATGCTTCACACATTTCCCACCGTTAGAGAAAGTCAAGATTCACCTGGGAGCAATTTACCAATTCAGGACAGATTCAGAAACGTCTAATGGAAATGTATAGAAATATGCTTGACATATTATGACAGCGTGTTCAACCATTTTGCATGTAAAGACTTGTGCGATGAACTAATGCCTAAATGTTGTGGGGGGTGAGACTATTCAACAGAGACCCATTATAGTACATTTTGATCAACATGACATAAGCAATTGATAATGTAGAAAACAGCAGAAAATTGTACATAATCATTTGCATGGCTGTACCAAAGCATTTGCAAGTTGTTCAAAGAAATGAGAAACTGCTTTTCTGATGTGCACAAGTGGCACAGTGATGTGAAGATTGAACACGTAGTTTTGAGAATTTCAATTCTGATCTGAGAAATGTACCAAAGCAACTGAGAAAAACTGTAAATGGATTACATAGCTTCCTGTATATGCTTCGTTATCGACAAAACTGATAATGACAAATTTCGGGATCTGTCCCAGGCACAGGTTTTCCTGGTTACATACTCTGGTTCCGGCGGGGATTGAAAATGTCTTGAGAGACACTCTATCAATTGCATATTTAGCGTTTGCATGTTGTAGCGCCCTGCTGTGCACCAGCCTAACTGAAGGTGATACAACTACCTTCTTTACAAAGAGACTGGCTGAAACTATCTTGGCCATGTATTGTTCAGCATCCGGTGTCATAAGGATGAATTCATCCTTTGCATGTATGAATTTTAAAGAAATATCGACACCGTTGAGCATCAGCTTCTCTTGAAAAAACAAATCGGCATGTATCGGTGAAATTAATTCGACAATGTGTCCCATATCTGTATATCTTCCTCTCGCTGCAAGGCCTCTGTTATTCCCCACTATTGAAGTATTATTCATGTCCCCCGTATCTTTGCTAAACAGCCCCATGCTAAACTGTGGATCCAATGTGTCGCCTGAATTGTTGATTAAACATTCAATTATCCCACGGTATGGATAGGTGTACAGCCTGGATAATTTATAAAACCCACATCCGCGCCGTTTGGCAGATTTGCTCCATCTGCTCTTGTGATTTTCACACGGGTGTACAGATAAGAGTCATTTAGATCAAGGTAGTCTTCACCACTTGCTGATATGTAGAATTCTGTTGAGCCTGTGTCGGTCATTGCCGAAACTGGTGGAATTTCCACAAAAGTCGATTTTTCAATAGAGGTCTGGGTGTACAGCACGGTGAACAGATCCAGCTCTGTTTTCACACATTCCTCCGACTCCTTGTGTATTAGCAACATTGTTGTAGACTTTTTTTTCTCAGCTTAGAATATGTCTCTCTGTCCGACCCTCCTGCCACACACGCTGTGTTCTGCAGGCTTTGCTGGTTGCTTTCTTTTTGACCGTTTTTCCCTTTGTTTTCTGTCTTTAACACGATCCACAGAAAGCCTACTTCCGGAAGGAGGTATTTTTGCACTCTTCCGGGTGTACACCACCAATCCGTTTCTGTCTTGTTTTTAAGACACCGTTTCTCGCTATGTTGGACACAACATCACCCATGATATTCGTGGCAGCGGTTTTTAAATGGGGCATAGCCATGCGGAATCCTTTTTTAAACAATGGTACTGCCGTTCTAAATAGATTACGAAATATGCCTCCGAGCCCTTGACCATATAGTGTACTCGATCCTATAAAACCGGGCAGCTCCCCGCCGGCCTGGTTCATATAATAAGTCACATATCTTGTATCATTGCTCGTGTACAGGGTGCGTAACATTTTCTGTTAAATTTTCTCCCGCTGCGGTCTAAAATGTAATTTGACCACTACTTTCCCGTAAGAAAACAGTATATATCTATTCTGGTCGTTTTTTAACGAAATCTCTATATCATCAATAGTTGACTTGGAGAAAGATGTGTAGTGTGGCTTGTCGTAAGTCAGAGTGGGACACATTTATACACCTTAAAAACGGTACGTGACTGTCACCCACTAGCTGGTAATCCACAATGTCACTATACACAAATATATTGTAGCTTCCACCGTGAACGTCTGCAGGGTGCAGTGCTTGCATTTGTTTTCGCGGGCCATAGGTTTCAGACATTGAAAATGGTTGTCCAGGGTTAAAGCCAAGTATTTCGGCTAGTCTGCCTTTAAATGTGAAAATAGTTCCTTCAGCACCCGTAAAATAAACAAAATTTGTAACAGTGCTGTAATGCATACTTATGTGGGCGCATGCTTGTGGCAGTACACAATGTGAATTGAATTCTTTAACCAATCTGGGTATCAAGTCATAAAAACTGGGCGACATGGAGATTGTCAGCGGTTGTTTTGTTTTAGAATTTTGGACAACCACATCTGCATCTTCGATTTGGAAACTGTTCCAAACTCTGGGGTATTGGATCTAGATCAATCCCACCTCATAAGGCTCAGTCAGGATGATGGGTCTAGCTAACTTCGTCCTGTAGTTCCATATCTTGTTATTGGGATATACATTCGCCGAGGCATTACTAGGCAGCGTCACAAAGAATCCCGTATTCTTCTTGTCCATTTGTTCCATCCCTACGCAGTGCCAGCGTCTGATATGATGGTAAACAGAGATGACTCGCCCATTTATTACACATCCACAATGTCTTTTTCATTGAGCCACGAGTTGACTTTGTCCGGCCACCCCAGCCATTTCACTAACACTATTTTTTTCCGGACCACTGCTTTTCTAGCTCGTATTTTTTCCATCTTAAATACTTTGTTGTCATCAATAATGACCATCTGTAACTCTGTTTCATAAAAACTACCTTTTACAGCTTCGCCTCCACAATCCGCCAGTCTGTTTATGGGTGGGTCCCTGGCTATACGTTAAGTTATTGTAAAATATTCATCCGTGAAAGTCTGCTCATTGCCTTTTCTAAACTTGCCACAAAGTTTTGATATTCTCACATTGTCCCCTATATTGTATTTAAAGTCTACCATTTTTTGTGGTTTCCCTTTGTCGAGGTTTGTTAGGATGAGTTTCTTTAGCCAGTCATATTAGCCTTTAGAGTGTTGGAGCTGTGTCACTCAAATACCTCAGATACTTTGCTGTTAGATTGCTGGAGCCACGAGCCTCCGACAACCATCCCTGACCGAAGAACCCTGTACACATTATTTACATCATGTAGGTCCCCAAAATATGTTTTGCCATGGTATTTCCTTCTTGGGACCCTCCACCTGTTCACCTAAAGCTTTTTAAAATATGTTGTCTTTTGTTTTTACCGTACATGGATTTCTCTTAGGGTCAACTAAATATCAACAGTATGTTTAGAGTTGTGGACCGCTATATATACTTGAGTGGACTTAGACCACTCTTTGTTACACTTGTGGCATGATAAAGCTGTAACCCAGGTCTGCAACCAGTAAAGCTTGTCAAACTGACCATTCGTGTGGACCTTCCATTCTTTCAAGTGTGAACCTGGGCTAGGCATCCTTACAATTTGGTGTCACGAACAGGATTAATCACCAAAAAAGAAGGTAAGCCTCTTTAATTATTCAATCCACTTGTGATTGTATTGCTTACCTGATTTGAGAATTAAAAAGATACCTCTGCTATGGGATGCCTAGTAGTCCTTGTACAATTGGCTCTTGAGAAAAAACTTTTGACAGTCTGAATGGATAACGTATTTAACTTAATGAAACATTAATAGTTCACTGAATTTGCTTGCTGAGATGTGTCGATATTAATCAATATTAGAGTGGTCCCACTCGCAGTAGAGGGACAGTGTGAATATAGGTGTCCAGAGAGACAAGAACAGATACTGAAGTCCTTGGAGGACGTGTTGATAAATATTGAAGTAACAGGTACTACTGTCTGGTAGCCTGACGGACGGACCGCTCGACGGCCCCGATTCATACTTCAGCAGTAGGGTACCTCTGGGTTTTGTAAAAGATGTCATTGGATGACGAGAATATGTTGAAATGGTACTTCTGTCTAAGTGTCTGATGTACTGACCACTCAACGGCCCCGATTCAGTCATTAGCAGAGTGGTACTTCTGGTTTTTCTATAGGAAGACGTCATTGGATGACGCGGTTGTGTTATTGTTGTCACTGTTTAATAGTCTGACGGACTGACCGCACGACGACCCCGATTCAGTCATTAACAGGTACTTCTGTCTCTGTTTGAACGGACTGACCGCTTGACGGCCCCGATTTATTCAGTGACAGTTGTAGTGTAATTTTGTATAGGGAAATCTACGTATTGAGTAATATCGACCCATAACAGCTTCGCTTTTCATTGGGTAACATATGAAAATCCTAAATAAGGAATTGTATATGATCACACAAACTCAAGTTTTGACACTTTACATACTAACAAGTAGTTTTAGTTTTACTAATTACTGTACCTTTACCTTACAATGGGTACACAGCCCAGTAGATTAAAAGGGCCTCCGGGCACATTTAAAAATAAATCTGAGCTTGACTTGCCCAGAAAAAAAAGAAAAGCGATAAAAGAATTGTCAAAAGATGCTCCCCAGTGGAACACTGTTCCAGTTAAGCCTGTTGCTCTGATGTCAGCTAGGGAGTGGATGCATATCAAATTGGGGTTTTATTATGTTGGACCATTTTTGTTAAATTTAGAGGAATGGACAGATAATCGATTTCCAAAGGAAGGCAGTTTTGACAAAAAGAAATTAAACATTGTAAGTGAATTGTTGATAGATAATACTGCTATTGTTTGGGCCTCAATGGCTAACCAGTTCCCTGGTAATATTAGTAAAGTAGAAAAGAAAAAGAAAAGGACTGTTTTTTCCATAACGCAGAAGACTGTCCAAGTAAAACCTGGAAAGGGTGACAGTCCTGTTGCACTTGTTGTCTTTTAACTCCCCAGAGTCATTGCCTCCACATTTGACCCTCCCCAGTGCACATGTAAATGATGACAGTGATGACGATGACAGTTGGCTCTTTCTCCATGTGATGGAAGAAAATGAACAGCCCGGTTCGGTGCCCAGAATAAGTCCCACTGTCTTGTTTGCCGATGTAGGGGTGCCGAATCTTGCAATGAGAAAGTTTCAGAGTGAGTGCATTGATCGATGCCTCCAAAATTGTAAAAAAAACTTTCGAGAGTATAAGCAAAAAATTCATGTTTGACAAAGCTAAAGCTTGTAGTGCTAAACTACAGTATGTCAGAGAATACATGTCTTGTGAATTTAAGCGCATGTTCAAAATAATAAAGAAAGGTCATGATATCTCTCTGAATATGAGAGATATGTCATACGCCAATACGCCAATATGAGACAGACTCTAAGACTCAAATTGATTTAACAAAGCCCATTAGTAGCAGGCAGTTTAATGCTTTTATTTCAAGAATTTCTGATGCTGAGACACAGGCCGTTTATAAATTCCTTGAGCACCAGTTGAGTGAAATGAAGGACAGTGAGCTGAGAACCCTGTCCGCTGTCAAAGATGATGTAAATCTGATGACACCAATTATTACTGTCGATAATCGTGTAATGGATAAACCATTGACTCTCACTGATATTTCTCGGATTACTAGAGATGCTCCGTCACCACTGAATAATCCTACAGCATTTATGAATTGGTGGACCACGGCATTAATGCATACATCTCTGTCCGGACAAGATGTTAGATACATTCTTGCCACACTAATGCCTCACATCAAGATAGATACTCTAATTGCGGAATGTGACACTCTATGGTACCGATATGATGGGCCAGCAGAAGGGGAGGAGACCATTGAAGGAAAGTATCCCTGGTTAAGCAGAGACCATAAAACTGATCATATTGCTGAACTTACTAAATTCCTTGAAAAAAACGCAGCACAGGACTGGGACACAGGACTTAAATTGTAAACGTAAACAGAATGAG